CGGACCATTGCTGACATTAAACGAATGGATCTCAAAACGGCAAAGCTCCAATGAATGTATCATTCTAGAGCCAATGCTGTTTGTCTGCATGTGCCCAGATCCTAAGGAGGCTGAGGATTAGTTCAACTAGAATTGTCGTACAAAATGACAACAATCGATCTTCAAAGATATCTAGAAAGTCAAAAGAACGTGAAAGAAACTTTATAAAGGAAGCCAACACATTCTCATACTACAGTGGCACAAACCTTAAAAAAGAAGGAAAAAAGCAAATGCAATGGACCAAATGAAGAAACGATGACAAAATAAACCTCTTCATCGCCAATACTGTGACCGTACCAAAGAATGTGAGATAGACAAGATCCCGTACCCATCAGTGTTTGCGTAGTGCAGGATTAAAAAATGAAACCGAAGATTTTATTCTTGTTGCACAAGACCAATGATTGCTAACTAGAAACCATCAAGCAAACATACTGAAAAGTTGTGTTGATTCTAAATGAAGATTCTTTGATTTACGGGAAGAAAACTGCAAAAGTTAACATGAACACCACCCAGACCCGCTTACAGACATATACCTTGTAACAATTTTATAGGACTTTTATAGAACAATCTGAAAAAATATGGTACATGAAAGCATCAGTAATTTCAGTTGTGGTTGGAGTCCTGGGTTTGATTGGGAAAAGATACTGATAGACACACTGAACGGAAACCTAACCGCCGATGCCTTAAAGATATACAAAAATTTGTTGTTACAAGTACAGCTCGCATCTTACGAAGGGTTTTATCAATATAAAATGTGTGTGCTCTTAGGTTCAAAAATGTTCAGTAAAAATGTCATGATGCCATTTTTGACCTTAGGTCTCTGGTTGGAACCCGGAAGGAAATGAGTAAATAACAGAAATCAAAGGAAATAATAATAATAATAATAATAATGTTGGATGCCGAGAGGCATGTGTTTTCAGCTTGAAAGTTGAGACAGCCAAGGCGGTTTGGATTATCCGTCTAGATACTTGGTAACACCATAGGTCGTCGGAGTGGATTGGGCTAACCGACCTAAAGCTAAAAGCATTTTTAACTGCGCTACTTTTATCAAAACGTCTCACGTTTAGCTGTGATATATTTACCTGGTATACCATTATCAGTCGAGGCATCATGATGGAAATATTGAGGTTCATATATTTGTACCCTAGAGTTATTTTGGCGGATTGCGATCTCACTACTACTACTACCATTAATAATAATAATAATAATAATAATAGAGGACGTGCATGAAGTAGGAATGGAAAAAATGGTAAAAACAGAAAAAGTAGGAAACTTCATCTCAGTCATCCTTACCAAGAAGCTCAAGTAATTCCTATTACAAATTTAGACTCCATAAAATTATAGCCATTGCGTGAAAGGCAATTACGGTATTTAATATCATCCAATCATTATAATCATTCCGCTTGAGTGAATCTATCATTAATCAGCTCTGACCTATTTATACTCAATCTACTATATCTGATAAAAATTATTAGTTACATTCAATAAGCTAGAGATTATTAATTTGTTGTCATTTAATTTCAACCAAATTATTTTTTTTAGTCTCGAATAGTTTTGATCCCAAAATCGTAATGAAATACGGCTTTTTATAATTATCCCGTGTGATTTTGCACTAGTATTTTTATATTTCGTCTTTTAACTCTATGTTTCGGCCGATGCATTGTTTATTCAGATACATTCACGTACAGATTGCGTATTGTAATTTTTGAATCTCATTTAGTTTTTGTTAGCATCTAATACGTTCTCAATTGGCTGCCAAGTCTGAGCGTCAAAAATTCAATTTTTTCCCGAGTTTGAAATAATTTAGATAATCTTATCCCATTCTAGTAAAGGGCTAAAATGTTAAGGAATTCTGTAAGGCTGGAACTCTGTACACTAGAATAAATTTTTCCAAACTTACATTGGTGATCTTTTTTTTTAAATAATCTTTGGCGGAATTAAGCTTTCGGAAGTGTTGGCAATGTAACATAAAAGTGGAATCGGTGTCCCGAGTTCAAATTCCAGGTTAATCTGTTGCGTTGGCTTTCACACTTATCCATTGGAAAAGACATAAATTCGTCTCATCTCCCCACCACCAGCAAGACGTTAATAGCAGTGTAGACGGCTTTCTAGTTTTGGAAGTCAACCGGTCTTAGAGAAGGAAAACTCTGAGATGGAAACGGGAAACCAGTTCACTATCTTGCCATCGAACTGCAATTTGGAAATATCAATAGATGTAGCGAGCCATAATCGCCTACTTGAGGCATTAAATAGGAAAGAGAATTTGTTCGTCAGGCAATATATAATTCAGAATTTATATAAAAAGAAATAATTCAATGGGAATTTTATTTAATAAATAAATTGTAACTAAATAAAAGAAACAGTTGATTTACGCGGAGATGCCGCGATACAGCAGTTTGGAAAGCTATAAAAGGTGATTGGTAATTGCTATTAGATATGAGGTGTCCAGACTTTAGTAGTATGTATGGGGGACATTAACAAACTACTTCTTATAAACATCAAATTGCTGTCTGTATAGATTCTGTAACAATTTTTTAATCTTTTTATCCATTTACCTGGTGTTCTTGGGTATCCATAATTAAACTATTTTCTTTTTTTTCCAAACAACGCCCAGTAAAATGTATGAATATACTGAATAGATTTCCTATCGGAAACTTAACGAAATCTAGTTTAGTTTTAAACAAGTGAAAGTGGCTTTTGAACATTTGTTGTTCGTTTTTTAATTCTACAATTACTTTGTCAATAAGTGGCGTTAAAACTTGCTAAGGATTCTGCTGAATTTTGGGCAAATCAAATAAGACATTTAAAGTGCTCTCTTTCATGATTACTGCTTGATTCTTGGTGAGATTTTGGGTCAAGCTAATTTCCTGATCAACTCCGAAATTTATCTTCGGAAAAAAAAATTATTAAAAGCTACAAAAACAAGAAAATATTTCTCTTTGCTCACAGCACACATGATGTGCACCTCTTGTATAAAAAGAAAATGTCAGGAAAATTCAAGAAGATCACGTGCACTTTTGTCAACAGTTAGACTTGCTCATTATGGCGATTATCAAAGCGCAGCTTAGATGTGGATGTATGGGGAACCCAGTGAGAATCGAACTCACTACTCAGTCATAATTTTTCTTGCGAGACAAGCTTACTAACCATTAAACCACGTCGAAGTCCCCATGGTGATTTTCTAAGCGTAGCTTAGATGCGACCCAAGGACGAAAGTATGGGGTACCCAGAGACGATCGAACTCATTGTTCAGTCGTAATTGATTTAGGGAAACAAGCGTGCTGACCATTACACCTCGCTGGAATGCATTTTCTCTAAGCATAGCTTAGATGTCGCACCAGGCTGAAAGTATGGAGCACTCAGTGAGGGTCGAATTCACTATTCAGTCGTAACTGATCTAGCGAAACAAGCTTGTTAGCCATTACACCACGTTGAAGTGTCCGAGGATTTATTATTATGGAGTGATACATTCAGTTGAATAAAAAACTTAACTGTTATTGAGAGACACATTAGAGGAGTGAATAAACCAGAACTGAATATACCTCAAAATATTCAAAAGTCATATACCTTGCCATTTCCTTCTTTTCTTTTTATGTGGCACTAGCAGCATGACCCGGCGTTGCCCGTGCTTGATTCAAAAATCGTACGACTCATACAACAATCGCTATCACTTGACTTAAAATATTTTTGCCCTTCCTTGCCTTTAAAGGAGTGCCCTTTGCCGTGCTGATGTTGCTACATGCCTTACTTCTTGCCTATCTCAGACTGCGAATTTTGTCTAAGCTCTATACTAAACATTAAATCTGTTACGAAAAAAAGAACTAAACAAAATGAACACAAAACGATCAGCTTTAAAAAGGACTCGTAACTGGAAAAACCGAATGAAAAAGAATGTTAACAACAAATACTTTTTCACACGCAACCCAGTTCTGCGGAATCAGAATCAACGTTGAGTTTAAGCAAGCGAATGAGCCAATTGGAATAAAGTGCTATGCAGATTTAAATTTTTCCCACTTGTGACGAATGCAGCTATCGATTTTTTTGCATGCTAGCATGCTAGTTAACATTCGTGTCAGTCAGCTGTTGGCTCTCACGCTGGCCAATAGAATCTTCCTGCCTATTCGTGGCAGCCAGCTATAGGCTCTCGCTCTGGCCAGTAGAAAATGGCCGCAAACTACATGAAAACTGCCGTAGAAGCATGAAAAAATCGATTATTTCTACTATCGATGGGAGTTGGGAAATGCAAAGCCGGTCTTGGCCTTCCCGCTAACTTAGAGCATGTGCATGTAAACTTTGGTGCAAATCCGTCGAAAATTGCGGTCGTGCATTCGTTACACACACACACACACACACACACACACACACACACACACACACACACACACACACACATCCTGCCTTTTATAGATAGAGATGTCCTTTCAGGTCGTAGGCGATCATGGATCTCCACTTCCTTCTATCCCTTACAGCTCTTGACAAGTTCCTTCCCTCTTCTACCTACCCCAGACCAAGTTCTGTCATCTACTTCCATAAACCCGTTAAGTATGTCATGTGTTGTTTTCCTTCGTCTCTCTTTTCGTCTATTCGACTCGTGAGTATCAGATTCTCCAAGTCCTCCCTCCTCACTACATGTCCCAGAAACTTCAGCTGTCTTTTTCTGATGTTAAGTGTAAGCCTCCTCCTTGTTTGCAACCTCTCTAAGACCTCATTGTTGCTCACATGCTTGGTCCATGATATCCTCAGCATCCTTCTATAGAACCACATCTCTGTCGCCTCGAGTCTCTTCTTCATCTTTGAGGAAATCGTTCAACATTCGCTGCCGTAAAGAAGAATAAATGTCACGTAACAGCTCAAGGACCTAAATTCTACCTTCATCAATCTACACCCGCCCCCACCAAAAACCTTAAAACAAACAAAACACAAATCAAACAAATTGATTATTTCAAGCGTACTCGAACACCATGAACAAGTTTCTTCCATTCTCTCTCTATATCTCTTTCTACCATGATCTTCATAGGTTATTCTCTCCTCAAACCGAGAGCGTTTCTTTCTTCACTTCAATATCTGTCGAAAGTAGCACATCTTTCGTTCCCAGGTTGACATCCTATTGGGGATGCGCTATTTGTTGACCTGCGCATCAAGTCCGTGTTACAAAGAATTGGATTTACTTGCATGCAGTGTGTCACGTCCTTTCATACTTACATTTATAAATACAATTCAATACTTGTAACCGTAACTGCAATATTCAGCTAATTGATTGATTCGTTTACTACGGCTTATCAACACTTCGCTGGTTATTTTAAACCAGAAAATATATTTAAATTTCAAGAATTTTCATTTTTGAGATAATAATGATTTATTAATATAAGTCTAATTAATTAATGTCCTGGATACGACGATAAACTACATCTGACAGCAAGGCCTCTGATCGGGAAGTTGTGAGCAGCGTCGACCCACCTTTTAATTCTTCTTGTTCCCAGGTCCACTCTGACCTGGGGTAGTAGCACCTGCTAGGGTTCCAGATATGGGCAAATAGTTAATCACCAAACTGGTGTCAAAGCACGATAAAAGTATAATCATATTTATAGTAAAAATATCAGTAATACATATTTCATAGTAAAAAGAAATTACCAGGAATAGATTTTCGTAAAAAAATAAAAATTAACTGTAATGATTTAAAAAATACCATTAATACATTTTTGTAAAATAAATTACTACTGTTTTCAAGAAAACTAAATTTCGGCATTAAATGACCCATAAGGAGTTGATATGCCGCTAAACAAACAAAAATCTAACTAATTAACCTATAGATGGGGGAAAAGAGATGGATTCATAGCTTTCCCATAGGTATTTGCACGTAAGTGAAGTGAATATAACGAACCCAACTGGAATTGAAACTCGACTCTCTGATTGACAATTTCGAGCCATTATTCGTTACACTACCCTCACATCCAAGCTTACAGCACCTGACTCGACAATGTTTAACTTCGGTGATCGTATGGAAACCGTTGGTTCAAACGTGGTATGTCCGTAAGCCGTATTCAGCTAACTAGTATTGGTGTAACCCTGCCATTGTATTTGACTGTGTCGCTTATCATCTGCCATCGATCACTGTATATCAAGCCGATATGCTGATGCTGACATATCTGTGCAACTAGAGAGGTTCTACTTGTTCCAAATTTTTGTCATAGGTTGAACTTGCCAGGAGATAAACTCCCGCCAGGAAAGCTCTCCGGATCATAGGAACATACTAGCCACTTCCCCAGGTTGAGGTATCATGGAAATTAAGCATGGGAATCATTAAACTACTTTAGGATATATTTTCGTTTGACAGCCTCTGTCATCCGCATTGCATGTCGTTGGAACCCCATTTAAACAAAGAAGGCCTGTGAAGAAACTGTAGACTAAAAGATATGTTTGTGCTATTATTATGAAATCATTCATCGAGATTATGGCGTTATGCACTCAATGCAAAGTACAGTTGACCTTGTCCGAATTTCAAAAATTTTTTAAGGTCTCATAAATCTTTAAACATCAGATATGTTTAAACTCTGTCTACTTATAGTTAGCGACGGGGAACTATTTTAAGTCAAGACTCCACCCCGATCAAAAATAAGTAAAGAAAAAAAAATGTATGATATATAATGCACGCACACTCGCACACACTCGCACACACACACATACACACACACACACACACACACACACACATATATATATATGCATATGGGGAATATATATCCACCCCGATCAAAAATAAGAAAAGAAAAAACGTATTATATATAATGCACCCACACTCGTGTATATATATATATATATATATATATATATATATATATATATATATATATATATATATATAGAGAGAGAGAGAGAGAGAGAGAGAGAGACAGACAGACAGACAGACATACAGGCAGGTGCATGCAAAATAAGAAAAAAAAAAACGTATTATATATAATGCACACTCGCTATATATATATATATATATATATATATATATATATATATATATATATATATGTGTAGATGGGGGAATATATATGCAAATACGAAAGCACATCATCTGAAATTTTTAGAACCTGAATTTTCAGTGTATAATGCTCGATGTCCAGAATTAGAGGAGAAATAACGGGTTAAGTGCATTGACAAGGAAGAAGATTTTGTTGAAAAATAAAGATCTGTTGTATAAAATAGATGCTTGCTTCGGCGTTTGGCTACTGATTTAATGATGCACCTACCACTAGAGACTTTTATGTTCTTTTATCATCGTAAACCCGCACACTCACACGCGTACAAATGCCTGGATGTGTGTGTGTGTGTGTGTGGGCGCTTTTTTATGTGCATACATACATACATACTTATATATATATATATATATATATATGTCTGTGTAAAAAATGTGTATGTATATAAATATATATATATATATATATATATATATATATATATATATATATATATATATATATGCAATTTTTATATATATTATTTATATATTATATATGCGCGGTACTTATTAGAAAGCGGTCAATATCAGTAATAGAGCGAATATATTTAGTTGGATTGGTGTGAGTTTGTAACCTTGGGTTTCACGCTATTTGCTATCGTCAGACAAACTGATTAATTTTTTGTCGGACGATCAAAAATAGCGTGAAATCCAGGGTCACAAACTCACACCAATCAAATTACACACACACACACACACACACACACACACACACACACACACACACACACACACACACACACATATATATATATATATATATATATATATATATATATGAGCATATATAATTTGCGAGTCATTTGTGTGAAAGCTCGCTGGTGCGTATGGGTAGGCTAAAATTCTGGAATTTATTCGAATGTGAGTGGGTTTTGTCCGAATAACCACGTGATTACAGTCGCGTGTGACAAATTCGACTGGGTGAAATATTTATAGAACGATACGCTTTCTGTCGTCATATCGTAAAAGATAAGTAAATAATAATATACTGCTGTCATGTTATCTAAACATTTACTGCCTGGAATGCTGTATAGTAGACACACGCACGCAAATACACACGCACAAAACGAAATACGCATATACAGGGTGTGATGGGTGAATTGTCGCCATATTATTTTTAATTTTGCATATGCGCGTTGTTTGGCTTTGATTTTGTTGGCTGAAAAATATTTAGAGTTAGTTAGGCACCGTATGTTAGAATAAGAGCATCATGACGCAATTTAATCCACCAGATATTTGGAAACAGCAGGCTGTACCGCTTGGCATTCGTGCCGAAAGCTACATACAAACATTTCAGTGTGTTTGGGTGTCAAGCTAAGGACAGTGCAGAGGATTCGGAAAGAGTTGGATGGCAACGTTATGCCTCCATTCACCTTCACACGGCGTTAGATTCAACACGGAGGCCTACGTCAAGTGCTTTGAGGAGATTGTGCTGCACTAGGTCAAGATGGTGGCTGATGGAAGACCCTATGTCTACATCATGCCACACAAGTAGGCGAACCCAGTTATGGCTGTCAAACAATTTCTGCAGCCACACACCTCATTAACTACCACGTAACTACCCATACAACGACCCTCTTATTTATTATGTGTTGGACGCAGCTGAGCGAGTGACCAACAAAACTCCTTGTAACACCAAAGATGAACTGAAGGCAAGGATTATGGCAGCATTCCGAAGACGCTTGGTCGATTTTTGGAATAAATTTACGCTTTCGTATTTCAAGATGTTTTCGTGAATTTTGGGAAATATATAAAAGGAGATGTCAGTATTAGTTTCCTTTTTGCGTAATTTAGACGAAAATTTATTCATCGCACCCTGTACATATATAATGATTGACTAAATATAGCTTTGACCACAAGGCCAGTCATATGGTGAACCCAGGGATGATCGAACTTGTACTCAGTAGAAAGTGCTCTATTGTGACATGTTTGCTACCATTACAACACATAAAATATATATGAAAAATATATATGAAATATATATATATATATATATATATATATATATATATATATATATATATATATATATATATATATATATATATATATATTATAATTATTAAGTTGGATTGTGGTGTTTAGTCCCGTTTCATCTTCAAGCGAAATTTTTTCTGCATACCTACGCACTTATATTCACCAGTTCTATGAAACTCAGAATTTGTCTCTATGTACGCTGATGATGACTTAAGAAAGACGAAAGGTTGGACCATATTTGTTAACATTGGGCAATTTCTGGCATAATTTTTTCGTTATCCGAGAAGGATTATTCGTAATTTGGAAATGTCAACCAATAAAATTAATCGACACAAAATGTCTGTTGTCTTTAACAAAAATGCCATAAAGAACATTTACTGCCTAAATACAAACATTATATATATATATATATATATATATATATATATATATATATATATATATGTGTGTGTGTGCCAAAGATAAGGAGAAACATATTAAGTATGTGAGAGGGAGGTAATGAAATGTATGGGATCAGGCCAAGGAGACATTTCAAAAATGAATTCTGTTTGATCAATTGTTTAAATGTTAGGAAATGGTTTGACCCAATATCATTGAAATACCGATTTCATATATATATATATATAGTATATAATATATATATGTAGTATATATATGTAGTTTTAAATGTATGCTATATTTATACGTTAAAGTGCTCAATATCAGGCATAAAACATATGTAAATATAAAAGTGGACGCTGATGTCAACACCCAGCTGCGACAGTCTGTTTCATGTTTAAACGCCTGAAGATTGCGTGTTTAAGCATGAAACAGACTTCGCTGGGTGTTGACCTCAATATAGACTTTCTCTCTCCCCCCCTCTCTCTCTCTCTATATATATATATATATATATAATGTATTTGTGTAAGTGTATTTGGGTTTTGCGCGATTATTTGTATATTTCACTATATATGTGTGTATTTTTATAATGCCCATATGCGTGTTTGGTTTGGATTCAGGGGGTTGACTTTGCAACATGCCAATCTTTCTTGGGTTATTTCATCTTAAAACTTTTTTGTCTGTCTATTTCTTTCTTTCCGTCCCTTCTTTTTTCTTTAATTATATTTGAATAT